ATTCAACTGCCTTTCAAGTGCAGAACCTACACTGGAAAAAAACCCGAAGGATAATAAATGGAAAAAATCATTTTGACTCCGTAATAACAACAAAAGGAATTATGTTCCGTTGCAAACTCATAAATTCTTATTTTTTTACAGTGTAATAGTACAACTGATGTGAGACAGCTATAATGATAAGCCATTTATATAATGTGACACTTTAGACACAGGTCAGAACCATTTTTTACGAAAACTCACAAATGATTTCGTGATTTCTCCATCGAACCTGATTTTAAACAGAACCATTTCGAGGGTTTTGCGTTTTATCCGATAGCAGAATCCATATAACGGTTCTGCAAAACTCCAATTTTTTTGCAGAGTGACATTAAGGTACAGATGGGTGTGCATCATAAGATGAACACACCTACATTTTTCATAATCTAGTATATCGAATTCTCAAGGATAATACGATCGTCATGTGTAGGATGCTGCTGAACAAGTGGAACAGATCAATCGTATTTCACATTTTACTCTCACAAGGATGGTGCTAACAGTTTTCCTTTTAAAAATTCTAGAATAACAGTAGTTATAGACGTTTGATTTTCGCTATCATAAATGGCTAAGCCAGGAACGTAAGAGATTCTTCATGATATAAAGTTAATTGCAGCTTTTAGACAAGTTTATTGTAAACTGATAAACATGTGTCTTGTTTAATAAATTGGCTTTTACCTAGATACATGTTCACGGCTTCATTCTTCTCAATGCTGAAAATCACAAGTCTCTAGTTACTTACATTATAGATTTATTCGAAAAACAACGGAGCACATTATATCGATATATATTTTTTCTTTCTGCATGGCACCTTCTACTAATTATTTGTCTGTTTCGATTAATTTAAATGATCCAATTTTTTAAATGAAATAGACATATAAATATTATGATTGCTTTAAAAATATTCGATTCTTAGTTATTAACATCTAAAGATTTGAATTTAGTTCAATTAATGATTTGAAATTTAGGATAACTAACAACTCTGGTTATATTTTCAAATAAATAAAAAAAAAAGACAGGATGTGGGTGTGGAAAAAAAGAAGGCCGACACTTTGATTGACTCTCTGTCTGTCACTATGACTTACACGAAAATCTTCTGATAGTGAAATGTATGAAAATAGAAACTTCGGTATGTATTAAAAATTTGTTGTGAAGCATAATCAAATAGATTTGAAAGAACATAGAAAAAAATCTCGCTAGCGGTACTATAATGTTTCAAGTTCCTTTTTTGATTTACAACAAAATGTCGCATTCTTGATGAATGTACATGCAGTCCATCAACAGTACAAGACAGAAATGTTAATCTAGCAAGTCAAAAAATCTCTCTTGATTTAAAAACGAAGCAGTATTTTAATGGATATAATGTTTGACTCTTTTACATGATTGTATAAAGTAACGAGACGGTGCGACAAAGAAAAAATGGCATTTGCAAGTTGAAATATCTTCTTTATTGAATATAATGTAGTGAGTCATTTGAAAACGATAAATGAAATGTTCCAAAAGAAAAAAAAATGATAATAAATACGATTATTTTGATTTGCACTAGATTGGTAAAGTTTTTGAGATTTTTCATTTCTCTTCAACCATGCACACCGAAAAGATCACTGAGTAATCGGAAATAATGAAACTGAGTGTAGAAACTATTATATAAGAAACCAACTACTTTATCTTATTTAATAAAAATAAATTGATTCTCTGATTGACTCATGTATTATTGAATAATTACCCTAAGCATGTAGAAGTGCTTTGTTGGTGAAATACCATTTATTGTTGATAAGTGTCAGACTTGTTTGACGATACTTTCAATAACCTTCGGCAATGCAAAATCATGCAAATAGCAATGGTATATTGTTTTTCTCTTTCGAGTGAATAAATGGACAGACAAAAAGCTAAATCTTCTATCTGTTGTGTTGCGTCAAATAACTGAGACGAAGGTGACTTAATAGCTTCTTATAACTTTCTAATAATTCTTCAAAATCATTACTTTATCTTGAAAAATCTCTTCTTCAAAATGTGAGATTCAACAAGAACTTCCTTTTCATAGTGATCTGTCGCGATTTCTATTGAGTCTATTGTATTAATGATTGATACAATGATTGTAAAGCTCTATTTTATGAAATTTCCCAGTGAAAAATTTTCCGTCAGAAATCTCATGAAAACGGAGTCGTTTTTATGAGTAAAAAAAGTGTATAGTTGTGAAGCGTTAAAAAAATGTGAGACTTTTGCGCACGATAAATTCATTTTTTTCGTTCTTCGTCTCTCTGTGTTGAAAACATTCGTAGTATACAAATAGCTTCAGTCTTCCACCACCGGGCTTTTTTCTAGGCGTGAATCTAGCTATGGTTGTAGATGTGATTGTAGGTGTGTGGTAGTACCTTGTCATATGAGTATGTGAGGCACATCTGAGCACTCACATTCTCAGTTGACGGTACAGTGTTTTGATAATCATGGTCCACAGAAAAATAAATCTTGATTATGCTGATTGAATTCAACTAATATTTTGGCGTCACAGAATGGCTTCTATTCGTAATTTGCGAAAACAAGCCGATAGCTCTCACCGTTATGGAGAGCTGCAGAAAAGTATTTGCTTCATATAATCAATGATTGATGTTATCGAAGGAGGGAGAATATTTTCAAGGTAGAGCAAATAAATCACTGCCGCTTGAAGAATACCTTCGCAAATGCAAAATAATTGCAGGAATGACACAAAAAAATGCATTGTCATTGAAAAAAAAAACATCTACTCATGTCTTAGCCACAAAAAAATATGCATTCTGATGAAAAAAAAACCACCTTCCCATGCATTAGCCGCAAAAAATACCCATCACTTGAAGTTTGTCAGCAGTACAACCATGTACATAAGTTTTATTCCGGCTGCCGCTCAAGTACGAAAAAAAGCCATCGAAGTGTTCAGTGGTTACTTACCTTGAAAAAATATAATTTATTGTTTATACAAATCAATCTTACCGTTCCTATACGAGCTGTAATACAATAACAAAATTTGATTGGTCCTTCTGGGCAGAAATATTGATTAAACTTCGAAATTCAGTATTTAAAGACATATTAGAGATTGAGACGCAGCGAAAAGAAAAGAAAGGTTGTTATTGTGCACAATTAAACATTAAATCACTTTTGTTTTTGTTCATTTAACGACGACAGTATAGTTTGTGTAAGTTCAACAGATAAATGTAAGTATGGAAACGTGAAAAAAATGTAAAACCTTTAGTTCCTTCAATCATTTATTGATTCTCTTAATATCTTTGATAAGTTTATCTAAGTAGATTTATTTCTTATGTAAAGGTAAGCCATTGATCGATAGAACCCTTTGCATCGAGTAATAGGAATTTTGTTATAGCGATTTTCGTCGATTGGTAGAAGTTTTATCATAGGCTGTTGACATTGTTGTTTGATTACGTAGTCTTTTACGGAACGTTTGGCAATATTTAATTCGAAGTTGCCAAATGTATGCGAATAAGAACTTATCGGTTTTTCGAGTTATGCATCTTGCCAGTAGCATGGATTTCTTGTGATTTTGTATGAGTACTGTGTAATCGAAGACTCTTTATCATACAGACTGTTTTTCAAACGACTTTCTATATTACACGTTATACCTATTGTAATATTCCAATGAGTAGTAATTTCGAATCGTCGGAATACATGAACTCGAATCTTTTATTTTCCGCACTTTTATGCTTATCTAGACTATCAGCTATTGTCGAAAGTTGTATTTTTACTGGACTGTCTCTCTGCGCGAGACTGAACTTTCGCCAATTGCTAGTAGTTTTATTTTGTTAAGATGAAAAATTCAGAAAAAACACTACTTTTTGTGATTGACGAAAGTCACTACTGTAAAATTTCTGTTTTCCTACGTTGCATATTTCTTGTACAAGATCTAAGCATGCAAGAAAAATACAAAAGCTATGTATATATTAGAGTAATAGAAGCTTTTCTGTTATTCAATATAATGAAAGTTCATTTATCAGTTTCATGTATGGAAAAAAATGATGTGTACAGAAAGCGAATAAATTTTATTTATTTGATCGTGCTGAAAACATATTAATAGTAATGTGAAAAATTCCATTCTTAACTTTAGCTGCTTTTAAACTGGCTCCATTGTAATGTCATAGTTCGCTCTTTGTTTTATTTCGTTGACAGCAGCGGTAGGGTGAGAGTATGGGTAAGTATTGTTTTGATTCATACCCACACCGGCATGTTATTGTCATCAAGCTCTACAATAGAGCATGTACTCCATTCGAAGCAGTGGATCACACCTAAGAACGTTTTCTTGTTAGTCAAACAGATTAGAACAGAGTTTTTCTTTATTCTATTATGGAAAGAACGTGGTATTGTCTAGTCTTCAAGGGATGACCAGGAATCGTTTCTTAAATGGTTCGAACAATACCATGTGTCGTCTTCACAAGAGTAAAGAAAAAAATGGAAATTTCCAAATGCAATCAATAAAACTCGATTGTAATGTGTCATAAGTATTAAGCAGAATAACTAAAACTGAATATTATCGGCTAAAGGAGTCGTCAACACTTGATACTAATGATGGTTCATCACGAAATAACAAAAGCTTCGAGATAAGTTTTAGATGAACTACATTGTCAAGAGTTTAGGTGAGGTTGTGTGATGTTTGGGTTAGTTGGTTTCCTTAACAGTTTGGAGAAGATTCAAAGATATCCTCACTCTAGTCTTCAAACAGTCACCTATTGATAGTGACAGCAAGGGAGAACAGCTATCTGTTTGAAATGTCTTCTTTTTTTCGCGAATAGACCCTGATAGCAACGTGCTGACAAAAATTTCGTTTTAACGTTCCTTTTATTCTTTTGTCAGTATCCTTCGACAGTGAATTATGGAAATGCTACGTTTCGACTCTTCTGTTTCTGTCCGAATGGCATTCTTATAACGAATCATTGACACTTGTTTTAATATTTTCTCTTTATTAACAGATTTTGAGAATAAAAATGTCTTCGAATTCACTCATCATTAGTGAAGAAGATAACACGAAAACTGCTAATTCAAGTGTTTCATATCGTCCTCTTCAAAAGCATTCTAATTATGCTGTTCATTATATTTCTTCGGCGTTCGTCAAAATCGAACAATTGAAAACTGATCTCAATGCAGAGTATCAATACGAAAAACATAAACTAATTGAATTGAACGAACAATTGCGTTTGATGGTCGATCGTGCTGAGCGATTGGAATCACAAAATTCAAAATATAGTGCAAAACTGAATGATTTGCGACAACAAGGATTCTTCATTGGGATCACTGGTACAAAAAATGACGAATATTATCGTCTACAGAATGATATTATGACAATGAACTATGATAAAGTTGGCTACGAATCAGAAATCGAACTCTTTCAGCTTCAAACAAAAATCTATCAACAAATGATCGAATTTGAAAATCAATCGATTGATGAGCAACGATTGAAATTAGAACAAGAATTGAATCTATCTGCATCTAATCTTGTCAATATACATAGGTCCTATGCAGAATTGGAACAAAGAGTTGGAAGTTATCGTGCAGCGTGTAAAGATTCATTCCAACAGTATATGAAATTGACTAATGATTGGTCTCTTGTAAGAAGACAAACAAATGAATTGAAGATCAAAGTGCATATGTCGAAGAAGAATATTACATTATCCAAGGCTTTATATTCGTATGTACTAAATTGAATATCTCTTGATTGTTGTCTTCTTTTCATTGATCAACTTTTCCTTTTACTTCTAGTAAATACGATATAATTTCAATGGATATGTCTGATTTTACCGAATTGTGGAAGCTTGAATGGAAACAAATTGTTAACAGAATACAAGATGATTTCAAAGTATTATATGGAGTAATTCATAAAGAAACAATCACTTTTTATGAACAAAAAATCAAGGAAGTACAAGTTGAATTAGGAAAAATAGCACAATATCAACCAGACGAGCAGGATCAACATGCACAGATTCAACAGAAAATTCAGATTGAATACGAAGAAGTGCAGAAGAAATTTGCCTATGAAAAAGAAATTCTACTGCAATCGGAAGCAACATACTGTGAGTAAAGTGTGATATTTTGTCTTCTGGTGGTTCTTTCTTTGAAAAAAAAAAAACAACATTTTTCTTTTCATTGTTTAAAGCTAAATTAGAATCTGAATTGAAAACCATTCAAATTCAAAATGAAGAACAATTCATAGCACAGTCGAATGAGTTTTATGATTTAGAGGAAAGTATCATACTAATAGTGAGTAGTATCGAAGAAATGCAACGAAGGTTAGAAAGTTTGCTGTTGATTGAAACATAGATCAATTTTCTTTTTGTATTATATTTCTAGAAAACTTCATTTAGAAAGTGAAATTATTATTTATCGTCATCTATTGAACAAAAAAGAAACAGTGGAAGTCACTGACACATCTTCATCAGTTTCAATTACAAGAAAAAGAAAATTCGTTGTAAAAAATCAATGTCATGGATTGATTAATATCGGTAAGCGCCAAGTTGAAGAAGAGATCGTGAACGAGTCTAATGGATACTTTTTCTCTTTTTTTTTTTTTTCTGGAAAAAGATTGTCCTCTTGATTGCACACACATTGGTGTTATGAATCAGTCGGCTAGTGAAATTATCGATATTTCGAGATGGCTGCTGATACGGCGTGTTGATTCAGACGTTGTATTTCAGTATAAAATACCCGATGGACTTCAACTCCAACCAGGCAGTGAAATAAGAGTCTATTCGGAATTAGGTGCTGATGCTGCTAAAAAATTATTGAGTCAAAGTATTTCATCGACATCCTTATGTCGAGAAGTTATCCTCAAAAATGTATCTTCAATGGGTACGTCATTGTATCAAGTTATTCTACTCATTACTCTCTTCTATCTCTGTTTAGGTATTGGTGACCAGATCGAAACACAGCTGCTTGATGAAAATGGTGAAGAGAAAGCATCATGCATACAGACAGCGACAACTGAGTGGGCAACATGTGATTGATACCAGCAATATCAACACATTGTGATTGAGAGCTAGACTGATAGTTTGCATTGAACTGGGCCTCTAACCTCTTAGAATCTTTTACTAGAAGTTTTTATATTTTTTGTCTTACACTAAACGAATAAATACATCATAGAATTTTTGAGTACACTTCTTTCATCATTAAACAGATTTGTCGTGGAACCACAACAGTCTTCTTTTTTACTATGTTCTTCGAAGAATGTACCGAGAGTTGTTGTATTATATTTGTTAAAATTATGTTTTTTCCATCGGGGAAGAATTTATGCCTTCGAATATGCCAGTTATCAAACGAGCTTTCGAAATCGTCTTTTCTGATGCTGTTACCAATTTATTTTACTCTCAGCATGATTTTATCATCGTTGAACTAAATTCCTTGAGGTTTAGTTTTTGAGATTACACGAACTTGGTTTCGAAGAATACTGTAAATTTTACATCAATTCACGTGTCCTTTTTTTGCCAAATATTTGTTAGTAATTGATATTCTTTTCGATCGTAATATTCCTTGACAGAAAATACAAAACTGAACACTAAGCCTATGTCATTATGCTGATATAGTTTTGAAATATTTACGGTGGAGAGATATTTATAGATAAGTCTGCATTTGATTAAACTGGCTTTCAGAACGAAATTAACTACCATACTACTATCTGAATTTTCATTCCATTAATATTCATTTGAATGCAAAGATGTTAGGGGTATCCATATTTTTCATCATTCTTTTATTATCAGCTTAAAATTATAGTATCAAGATATATCATTAATAACAATGTGTCTCGGTTAGGGTTTACACGATTGTCAAGATACTGATGTTACAATATTGAAATTTCATCATTTTAATGCCACTTACAAACACATGTTTCTTGTTCTTAATTTTGACTTGATTTAAGTAATATTTTGAAGATACTTGACCCTTTTAATAGTTAGAACGATTTGTCATATCATATTTATATTCACGATAATTTTGATGATGCAAAGCGTATGTAATATATTTTAATATCAGTTTTTGCGTATAGAATGTAATTGATCTGAAATGAGTGTGAACTCAAGTCATAAGTAGACATTAGAAAAAGAAAATTCCATAGATCATTTCTTTCATCGAGAAATAGTATCAAAAATCAAGTTTCAATAAATTCATTCTATAAGCATATCTTTAATTTTCAAGAATCAAGAAGTTTGGTTTGATAAACAATATCATGTTTTTATTTTTTGAACATATACTCAGATCACTGAGCATCATCATAATGAAATATTGATATTGAAAGTACTTTTGAATTTGTTTAGCACAAGTGATTGCAAGAAATAAAGTTCAATGATTTAATATAATTTAAATTATTTCAACACCTCACATGATAAAAGAGCAATGGTTGGAAGATATGTCAATAGACATATTTGTCATGTATTTGTAATGTATATTATTTCATCTTGTGCTACTACCAGTAGTCATACTCAAATATTTAGCCAGATCTCAATGGTATAAGCCTACTTAGTATAATAGGGAAGACGTAGTAAAGTCTTTCCTAACTCAAGCGTATGAAATTTTCGTCATTTTGTCGGAATAATACAAAAATGTAGGCAATCCCATCTATTTGTCTTTGTATGCTAGATCGTAATTATGCAATACATCAACTTAGTGTACAAGTTTAATTTAGAGAGAACAAAACAATAAATACTACATGCAAGAAGAAATAAAATATGAGTCACATGAATGAATGTCTTAAAACGAATTTTTTTTTTGTATACTCATTGTTGAGAAAAACATTCAATATCGATTACAATGATTTTGAAAATCACTCGATCCGATTCACTTTAGTAACAGAAAAGAAGAAACTGTTTTGATGACTCGAATTCGAATTGAAAATTTGCTTGGTATTTTAGGAAAATTTTAGTTCGATTGATGTAAATTGAAACAATAATTATGCGTTTCGTCTCTGAGATAATTATATTAGAAGAATTCTTTTTAGTAGATCAATCGATTCTTCAGAATTGCCAATAATCATTTGAATAGATCGACAATTTCAATTGTTATTTCACAGATCATTTACAGTCTAACATGTGTTTTAATATCTCCATGAAGCAATCTTTTTTAGTTTTGTTTTCAAAATTCGCTTAGTATTTCTCGTATAAAAGCATCAGAAAGTTTTTAGATAGTACTAAGAAATGCATCTTTACAAGAAAAAATCGACAGTTTTTAGAGAGAGTTTATAGATACGTTGGATTCAAGAGAAAATAAGTAGTCCTTACACTAAATTATAGAAGGAATAGTTCCTTACAAAATCAAGTGTTGCTCAATCTTCCGTAATGTTCCATTGAAAAGTTATGAAAATTTTATAGAAATCTCTATTGTTGATCATTCGACTTTTTCTCATTGTCAAATTCTGTATGCATTATAAAAATATGATACCAAGTTGTAAAATGAACAGATTTTTTAGACATTTATTTAAGCTATAGACCGAATGTGCTAGTAAAAAACCATTTTGTGTTTTCTCGAGTGCAACACACTGTCAAAAAAAAATGAATTTTTACTTGTAAGAAGCATTGTTTTAGGCCTTTCAAAAAAAATCTGTAATTTCTAAAAACATATGTGAAAATGTGACGTCAGGCACATGTTATAACATGTTCCAATTCGAAAAAAAAAGCTTTTTCAAAATTAAATAATTTGCACTTTCATATTGTGTTAAGACTTATTGTACAGAGGTTATTCATTGTCTTAAAAAATATTTCATAGTATATACATGCTTTTTAAGATGGTCATATGAAAGAAAAAAACAAACTGAAGTTCATTGCGCATTGAGATATTTTCTTTTCATTAATACTTTTCCTTTCTTCAAATTTACTAAATAACTTCTTTCAAACAAAAGCTAGATATATAAATATCTACACAACATACAAATGAGAGTAAGTCATATATATTTCACATTCATCACTTTATTTATTTTTCGAACAATTAAATGATTTATCTCTTAATACTTCTCGTATCAAAGCATACAAAAGTAAGTTTGTTTGCTAATTCAATGAATTTTATGAGGATCGAAGAAATAGATCGATGACAAAGTTTAACATATTCACATAATTTCATAATAGTTATTTTGCATCAAATTTCAAAAAAAAAAAAAAAAAAAAGAAAATATATTGAATTTATCAAAATAATTATACAACAAGAAAGATTTCTCATAAATATTTATCCATCTTGTTTTCGACTAAATTCAATGAAAAAATAGCAAAACAATATTTCAAATAAATGATATTTCTTTTGTTTATAGAACGTTTCCAATGTTTTAATGAGTCAGATCTTATGATCTCATTAGAAATTGTATTCAAAATGAGACAATACAAAGGAATTGATATTCATTTTCGAAATGTTACAAAACTTCAATTTAGAACATGTTTTTATCAAAGAAAGGTTAATTATTAGTTTTGCTTCTTTCTTTTATGAGTTGAAAAAAATTAAGTTAATTCTTCATTTATAGTTAAAAGAAAATACTATCTGTAAGTTTTCTAAATTTTTATATTTCATGTATAAATTGTCTTCTTTATATTATTATTCTAAAGTGATTTTTTTCTCATGAAAAATCAGCATGGTCAAGCATCATGGAATTTCATATTTTTTGTAATACGAGACGTATATCTCATTAATAATCAATGCAAACTCTCTGATATTTTCATTATAGGTACAGATTATATAACTCTATTACTAGTACAAATTTCATTTATTTTGTTTTAGCGCGATCCGAGTTATTCAAAAGATGGAATTGTTTTCTTTAGGATGGTTTGAGACTTACGCGTTTTACTATGAAACGAAGCGCCATACAAATAAATGTTGTATATGAAAGTTGTTCAGTTTTTCACAAAGTTTCAGAATATCAGATCATTTCTTGACAAACATAACTCCATCAAATAAAATATTGAAAATACTGTCCGTCACGGAATTTCATTCTTCATGGAATTTCGCCTTTCCTATCGAAAATCACGATTTAAATGAGAACAAAAGCAAAATTCAAAATTTTGCAAAAACACCTAGATATTCATCCTCAGCATGGAATTTTGCATCTAATGATATACCTTTTACGAAAATTCAACGACAAAAAATTTTGACGCTTTTGAGGCGCGAAATTTTTGGAAAAAAACGTCGCTTTGTTTAGAATTCGATGCTGATTTCAAATATATGTATATTTATGAAGAAAAGTATAAAAAAAAATATTTAAATAGCGTTGAAACACATTCATTTTCAGATATGAATGAAATTCTATGATGGAGTACTTTTAAGAAACTGATACTGATATGAAAGTTAGATCAAACCACAATCAAAACAAGCATATTCAATAGACCTCGTCGTGTTCTATCTGAATATTTTGTATTTGTTTCGGAAATCACTGATATAAATGAGTAAAACAAAATATAAGCGAGTTTTATCATCGAATTTCATTCAAAAATGTAGATAGTTTATGAACACATTATAGTGACTCATAGTTGTATGAAGGTTCAATGCTGCAAGAACAAGTTGTCTTCTATCGATTAATATTTAATTGAAAAATGTTTCTGCTGCTGAGTATTTTTTTATTTGAAAGATGTACTTCATCACTGTCTTTTATACAGATTGTTTAAGTAATTACTTTTAAGAAAGATTTGATATGTCTAAAGTAACCAAGGTTCTCCAATAGTAGACTCAGTTTCCTTTACTTTTGAGTTCGAACTATCCTCATCTGTGGGTGACCGATAGCTGGCGGTGCCGAGATATGATACATGTATTGAGACTTTGAATATAGATTTTTACACCGAAAGATTCAAAACATCAACAGTGTAAAAACAAAATTAAATTTTCTCGTTCAATATTCATTCTATAAACTATCGATTAGAATAAGTTAACTCAATTGTTCAACAAATATTTTTACGGTAATTATGTAAAATAATTTTTTTTTAATCGTTGCACATGAAACCAATTGACAGAAATCAGATCCATGAAAAAGTACTTGTTCATTTGATTTTCATGACTGTACAACTCAAATGTCTTCTAGTGAAACAATTCGAATGGCTTTTACATGTGATTCAATACGTAAGGTTTCTTTTTATTTGTGTCATGTTTTAAATTCATCAAAATATTTCTGTTATTCATAATTAACTTGAATATATTTAAGTCACATCATTTCACGGTCAAATTCTGTAAGCTCATTTTTAATCGTATAAATAATCCTCACTTCTCTCGATCTCATTATAAGGCTATCTATAGCTTTTCACAATTTTACAATGAGTTTAGATACAATTGGTAAAGATCACAATTTTTTCCGCACGATATCACTTGAGTTTTCGGAGATCAGATATTTTATTTGTTTTAATTGGAGTAGATACTTCGTTGAAATAAAATGACCTAATTTTTAGAAAAATTTTTTATATGAAAGAAAAAAAAAATCTGTTTTCATCTGAGACATAAAAAAAATAAAAATATTATAAGTGAATTAGGTTGTTTGAGAATCAAATAAATATGATCATTCTGATAAATCAAAATTAATTGCATCTATAAATAAACTCATTTAGCATTAAAAAAAAACAATTCTTTCCTTCATTTACATGCAAAAAAAAAAGAATTTAAAAAGTTAACCTAGGCAGCAAAGAAATAACTTAAATTACATAGAATGAAAAACTCAGATGAACTCTATTTTTTACTATAGTGTTACACTAATTACACAGCATATCGAATAGCATTTTATGTTTTTCTTCTATGACAAACTATTTTGCTCTTTTCAAACTTGGAAATTAAGATTGTCCTTTGTTGTTTTTCATCTAATTTCCGATCCAAAGTTTTCATGTTTATTCCTATTTGAAAACATATATAACAACATTATAACATCGACTGAATCGCAATTATTATCGATGCTGGTGATTGTCATCACCATTCTGATTCACAGCTATGATCGTGGTATTGACTGAAGTTCAGTCACAATTAGTCACAAGCTTTTATAATAAATTAACAAATTCTACACCTTTTCATTTGTCTTTTCCGTTTAATAAAAAAGATAAGCGTTTGACGAAGTTTAATTAATTTGTTAATCAAAAATCATTTAAATTAGATTAAATACACAACTTTTTTTCAATATTTCATACGAAATTTTTAATAAATGAAAATTTAACAAAGAGAAACATCTGAAGTTTTATTTCTCTTTGATCTTTGTTTGTTTTCTGAATGTCATTGATTCTTTATTCATGCATCTACGGAGTTTTATGATCTTGATGTCATTTCAAATGTTAAAGAAACTTCAGTGTCTCTCTGTCAGTGAATGTGCCTATATGCAATAGAGGATTCTGTTGGATTTTTGTTAAATTTTCGATAATAATTGTATATCAAAACTGGAACCGTTCCGAGATGTCAATTAAGTAGAGATATCATTTAACTTTCGAATCCCATAGTTTGTTTGTAAAAAGATATAGAAATATTATTTTATCGATTATCTCTCATCAAAATTTGAAGAAAAATATCAAATCAAATTAAACTCTAGTTCAACATTTTTATAATCTTTTTTTTTTCTTTTCTTTGTTCCTCATTTCTAATATTATTGAAGTAAACTATATCGTACTATAATTAAAAGGATTTTTTCAATTAATACGCATTAGCAAAAAAGTTTCATACTTGACAAGAAAGCAGAATTTATACTCATTTTAGCTAAGAAGCACTTCTTTAATATTTTATTCCGCATATATATATTCGCAAACAAAATGATCAGGTTTATCAGTCAAATTAAGAACTCAAACACGAACAGTTTCGAGAAGAATAAATATATTTTATGACTTATAGTCATAGCATAACACTTTAGATCGTGACCAAAAATGTTCACCAGTTAGTTTGTATTTGAACTGAAAACATCTGTTTTGAAACGAGAACAGATAAATTAATACGAGATATCCTCAGTGTTTATTTTCAATATGAAATTATATTTTAGTAAATGGAAACGCAAAAAACAGCAAATGGAATCATTTTTTTATCTGGAAAAAAAAGATAGAATATCATAATAGTTGTATCTAAATTATTAATAGAAAAAAAAAGCAGATGTTAATGTGAAAGCGAGTCAGGTTTGTTATGCCTCCATTGAAGAAAGATTTGTGATAGAATTCAATGGTGTACGGAAGTAGGTATGGTACTGAGTCTTTATTTCTTTCACCACGCTCACACCCACAACCAAACTTGTATCCTAGAGAATGCTTAGGTTTATTGCGAGAAAAATAGATTCTATATTTTACTATTAGTTTTAGTTTTGCAAAATCCTTTTCTAGTTTTTCAATCTTGAAGGTTTCGAATTCAATTGTTTCTTAAATTCATAGATTGGTTTGAAATGGAAATATTTTTTCATGGAAAACGACGAATATGGTCAAGCTAAAATAGAGCGAAATAGTATTGAGTTAGATCAAAAGTATTCATGAACGATAAATCAGTTGAACTTCTGTTTTGCCATTACAAGGGTGAGTGTGAAAGATGATTGAGTGTTGATATCAATCTTCTCTCAACCCACACTTCATAACCACACACTACACTCGCACCTCACACTCAACCCGTGAAAAATTTTCGTTGATTTCAATCGAATTATTCTGCAACAAAATCAAAGTTAAAATCGATTGATAATTTTGATTATCGTAGATAACAGCAAAATCGAAATTATTAATTGATTTTAATTTTGATTTTGTTGCAGAATAATTCGATTGAAACCAGCGAAAATTTTTCACTGAGTACACTCACACTCTTTTAAACGGTTCTACTGACAGAAGAAGAACGTCATACGACATATCTGACCTATTTTTTCTTTGGAATAGATGTCAGTTTAATCTTTGTCTTTTATTTATAGCATACGCTCATGACGTTCGTTTAATTCACCATAGCATCGATAGTTTGTTCTTTCTCCTTAGAGTTTATTAGTTTAAAAAGACGTCGCCAAATATGGAAACCTTAACAATGCTTAATAACATGTATTGGTGAGTATGTTTGTAAGTTTATGCGATCATATTTTTGGAAGTAAAAGATATGAAAAGCATTTATCTTATCTATTCATAATCGCCGAATTATGAACTACGCACGTTCTTCTTTAGTTTTTTTTTAATAATGAAGTAAATTGAAAGTTTTTTTGTTGCCAAATCATAAGAAAATTCTTTAATCAAGTTTAAAATTTGACTAAATAATTGAATTGAAATATATTCAAAATCATTCTATCAAACTATAGAAAAAGTCAAACGAGAAGTATATCCTGGATTATGTAGAGAAATACCTGTATACGTGTCAACCATGCTTACGCAGAAATAACGCATCATAAGCGGATGTTACTATATTTTGACTTTCATAAAAGAGAAAAAAAAGACGGCTGTTTTTTTTTCTTTTTCTTTTCTTTAACGTTCACTATATATTCTCCTCTTTTGCAAGAAAAGAAGTAAGCCGTTTAGCTTGTTACTTTATATTTTAGTCATGTCAGCATCAAAAATAATTTCATCTCAATGTAAAATTTGTGGAGTTCCTACTACTCATTTTTATTTTGGTGTTAAATCTTGTGAATCATGTAAAATATTTTTCAAACGAAATGCTGAAAATCGAAGGGTGAGTGTTAAAATAAAATTCTCTAAAATCTAAATTAACCTATTAAGATGAAACTGAAATGTCCTTACTATGGTCAATGTGACATAAATATTCATACTCGTCATGCATGTGCTTCATGTCGATTAGAAAAATGCCTTAATGTTGGAATGTGTGTTGAATTGATTCGATGTTCACACGGCAAGAAGAAAAAAAAATCCACTACATCATTACCATTAGTTCCACTAGTGAATCGGAAAATTGAACAATCACAAAAGGTTATATATTTAATATTATTTTAATTCAAAGTTATTCTATCATGTTCGAAGAGAGAAAGAGTAATTTGATATATTATTAAATATGAGTGTGTTATTTAAGGAAAACTATTTTTATTTGCGCTTATTAAATTGCATAAAAGATAGATGACAGTATCAGTCCTACTACGATCGATAAACTTTTATAAGAACCATGTCAAAAACTAAATGATAGATATCTACGTGATAGGGTAGGACTGAATCCTCCCAAACTTGTAATCATTAAGAAGTTCAGTCTTTCTCTGAGATTATCTTCAGTTACAACTTAAAGTTTTTCGGGAAACTCAGTTCCTGTGTGACGCCACCACTTGATTCGAACTTATAGGAGATTGTTGTGATTACAAATTTGCTTCAACCTGACAATATACGCCCACTTAACTTACTAAAATCGAATAGTATCATTCTCGAATGTTGACATCGTTCTTGTATTCTCATCGAATTGTTAATGACGCACAGTACAATAGAATAGTTTTCTCAGTTCTGACTATGGTTTTTATCAAAAAAAAAATGGTAAAACACTGTTAACTCCGTCCCGGTGGGATTAAAAACACGATGGAGCTGCACGTAAGTAGTTCTTATATTTTAATGGAACGTTAAGGATGGTTTATATATAAAGTGGAGAGAGGAGTAATGAATCCGAATTTCTACCCCCCAAAACATTTTCACACTCTATTCATTGTTGTTTTTTAGTTAATAACATTAAATTTACTTGAAAGAGATCAATCATTATTAACTATTGATCAATGGATTCTTCTATCTAATTTAATTCATTCATATGACGAACATAATGCATTAGCAGTTGTAAAAAAGTTTGCAACAAATATAAATCATTTACATCCAAAATTACGTTATAAAATTGATTCTGCAACAACAATTGAAGTTAGTACAATTATTTGTCAATCATCAGAAACATTTGTTCAATCGAATCATGATATTAATTCATTACCTGTTCATGATCGTTCAATTGTTTTACGTGGCGCTGTGGATAATATCAGTTGTCTTGGTGGACCTTGGATATTACGTCAATCGGAACTTATCGAAAATTCAGCTTTTCGTAATGGTTTGGAAATTACATATGGTTCAATTCCATATCAACTAACTTTAAAAGTAATTTCATCATTAGATCAAAATATGGATCTCATTAAATTAACATTATCATTATTTGCTTTTTGTACAAGTAATTGTACGGTATTTGGTAAAAATGCTTCATTTCTGTTTTTAACTGATATGAAATCAGTTTTAAATATACAAAATATTTATGCTGAAGCTATATGGAAATATTTACTTTATAAATATGCATTTGAAGAATCGGTTATACGTTTTAGTCATCTTATTGAAAGTATTCTTGCTGCAATTACTGTTCGAACACATCTACAAACTGTTAACAGTCATACTGATGTTATTGATACACTTATTGAAAATATTGAAAAAGTTCAATTAAATAAAAACGCTGACTAAATCCTATTTTTAATGCCGTGGGAAGCATCACATTTATGTATTTCAGCGCGAATTTCTTATGAATGAATGTTATGATCAATTAATGATGTGGATGTGGGTGTTGATAAATGGGAGACCTATTCCCACACCCACACCCTTATACCATATCTTGAAAATTCGATATCTCAGGAGCAAAGACACGATGAAATGAATCCTTTTCAGCTCTTTTATATCTCATTGAGGTCTACTGATGGCCAGAAGATGGAGTCTAAACGGCTTGAACACCTGGAGACCTTCGCTCTTTAGCACAGTCATGCTGGCCTTGATCGTCATGACCAATGTCGAGCGAGCAAAAGAGTGTGTATCTTGGTGTCACTATACATGATTTTTCACAAATATGACCATCATTACAGTGATGTTTTCCTTCGTGACCATAGAATTGACAGCAAAGATTCGAACTGGAACAGAGTTCATATGATTCCTTACACAGATGATCAGTCTCCCAAGTGAGAATCATCTCAATGATCAAAATTTGCAGTACAAAAGCGTCGACATTGATGAAAAGAACGCAAACATAGACGCGTCGATTGACCAAATTAAGCGAGTTTGGATTTAAGTGCTGTTTCAAAATCTATTATATTGACTGCATAAGTTAGATCTATAGACAATTGGTTGTGAACGTACGACATGATGAAAACAACCCGATGTTCCAAAGTAGTCATTTGCATTTCACTAACGTTCGTGAGCCATGTAAATATTAAAACTTATTTGTGATCATCTGAATCTGATGAATTTTTCTGTAATACATTTATTAACTTCCGTTTATGAGCTTTTGATAACATAAAAGAGAAGAAGAAGCGCAAAAACGAACAAACGACACGAGTAAATTACACAAACAGAACACTATAGATATAGTGAGAAAAGGTGATAGGATTATAGACGAGAGAAGCTGTGAAAGATTGATGGACTAGAAAACATCCGTGTCTCTCAACAATCTGTTCAGTTTTTAACAAAATAGTCAATCCTGTTTTCTTGAAGTTTAAAACAGAGCAACAATACGTTACAGGCTCTAAGCATCGGCTACTTCCTGTCTTTTCTTCTAATATTTTCTGCATTTGCAGTAACCGAAATGAGAAACGAGCTTTGCTCGAAGCGTAGGTGAAACAATCAGATACGTATATAAATCATCGCAGTTGTAGATATTCAATAGTAAGGGTAATTGTTTTGATATTAAATCCTCAATTGCACGTCGTTTCACAGTTTTTTGCATCTTAAATGTTACAATTTTATAGAAGATGTAAATTGCGTAGAAAAACCGGATATGACAGTAAAAAGTACTTGAATTAATAGCATGCGTGTTACTTGCATTTGAAAATATCGAATACGTTTATTCTTCAATTGCATACTGGGAGACTGGTAGATTGTGTAATTTAAATTTTTAATTGCTAGGTAACTGAAGAATGACATTAAGGCCATTGGAATAATGAGGCAGAGCGGAAAAAAGAAAACATACATACAGTAGAGATACCAAGTTCGAGCTGAAGCATAACATCGATTTGAATAGATAGTGACATAGTACAGATTTGGTGACGCTAGGAAAGTACATAGCAGAATTAGAAATACAATGAGAAGGCATGTGTTCTTGAGACAAAAATTTTCCAACCAGTGACATGCGTGAGATATAAGAAGGTAGCGAACAATTGAATATAAAAACACACAAAAAATCAAGTTTCGAGTTTTTCTTTGTTTCCGTGTCTTCTCGTTCTAGTTGACATATCATAGCCATTAACAATCGCTGCAATATCCTTAGAATTCTTGGATTTTTTAAAGCTGTTCTCGTTTTTTCGGGCATCTTATCAGTTGTGCTATTACATGTAGTCTGTAAAAGTAAGTCGAAAACAATAGAATTGCTTAATGTTGATAAGTTTACTCTTAGATTTGTCTCAATTTTAGCCGCATATTTTACAGTGGCCGATTGAAACACTTTGCAGAACTGGTAATAAAACGATAGAGGGTGTGGGTATGAGAGAATAGAAGGTCCACACCCACACCCTTCCACTATTAGATAGAGTTCATCGAGCTGTACTTGGAACAGGAATGAAATGGTTTCAAGACATGTCTAGAAGAATCGGTGCAGGAATTACTCGAATCGGGTGCTAACTACGCCTACGTATTGTTTGGTACGAAACTCTTCGTATGAAGCCCTTTTGACGTTTGATAGGAGGGTGTGTTGCGAAACCTTTGCTACGAAACCTTATTTTCGATTTGGTGGAAAAATTTGGTACGAAACTCTTTATAGGAACCTTTGGCAACCGACTCTTGTATGATATAATTATATCGCTTCGTAGGATTTCGGCTGATTTTACACTCTAAATAAAAATCGTTTTCATGGAAACTCAGGAAAATAGGTTGCCGAACGTAGAGAAACCCAAATACACTGAAAAAAAATGGTACGACATCGAACCCAAAAGGGTGTTTTGGACTAAAAAAAGGTTTCGTGCATAGTACGGAACCTAAAAGGATTTCGATTTCGTTTCAATTCTCTGAACCTTTTTAGGTTTCGTAGATAGAACTACGAAACACTTGAAAAAGTATTCTAAGTCTATGACGATTATTTTCAGGCACCTGCATTTTTTACGAAACCTTTTGAGGGTTCCGTATTTTTTTCGAAAATGGTTCGGTGCATTAGAAAAAAATTAGTATGATTACCAAACCCTTTTTAAAATGAATACGGAACCCTCAAAAAGGTTTCGTAAAAACTTCGGTTGTCTGAAAATAATCGTCATAGACTTAGAATACTTTTTCAAGTGTTTCATAGTTCTATCTACGAAACCTAAAAGGGTTCAGAGAATTGAAACGAAATCGAAATCCTTTTAAGTTCCGTATTATGCACGAAACCTTTTTTTAGTCCAAAACACCCTTTTGGGTTCGGTGTCGTACCGTTTTTTTTTCCAGTGTAGGTTTCCAGACTGATTCTGGAAACCTGAATATGTTTCCGGACTGATCTCGGATACCTTTAAAAGTCTCTTGGAAGGAAAAAATGGGTTTCCGATTTTCGGAAACCTTAAAGGCGTTTCATATAGTGACAAACCCGAAAACTTTGAAAGCTTTCCGAAACAATGATAGGGTTTCCGGATTTTTGGAAACGGATCACTTTTCCGGAAACCTTTTAGCGTTTTCGGATTTGTCACTATATGACACGCTTTTAAAGTTGCCGAAAGTCGGCAACCCATTTTTCCTTCCAAGAAACTTTTAAAGATATCCCAGATCAGTCCGGAAACGTATTCAGGTTTCCGGAATCAGTCTGGAAACCTATTTGGGATTCTCTACGATCGGCAACCTATTTTCCTAGGTTTCCAAGAAAATGATTTTTATTTAGAGTGTAGCGTAGTTTTCCAGGAAAAAATCACCCATTTCTTTGTTTTCAACTTTCACCTCAAAAAAACCACAACGAATACTTTCAAATTGCCAGAAGTGATTGAGAAAGTAAGTTTCAGCTTACAAGCCTCTCTCGGTAATTTCTCATCATTTTTTTCGAATCGGTTAGAATCCTGCAAACAAAGTCGATTTTTTGTGCCCGTACGATTTGTTCCCTATGGTTATTTAATCAAATCATGACCGTGACATGAACAGAATTAATTGTGTCACAAGATGATACCATCAAAGAAAAAATTTTAAAAGAAACATTCTTCAAAAGATCTTTTCTAAAATAAATTAAATATTTTAGTTTAGTGTTCACGGGATTGCTTGTCTGCTGAGTAGCTCGATGAAATGTCTTTGAATCGTATGTCACACAGCTATATCTAATGTCCGTTTCAAAATATAATGCGTCCCACTGTTTTTTGAATAACTCAAGAACGCAATCAGCTAGAGACCTGCGGTTTTCACCAATTGAAAGAAGAGGCAGGGGGGGGGGTGTTTTTCTCCGATATTGTATCAGACAAAATCATTTTGAAATCAGTCATTTCTGCATAACATCGAAAAAATGGTCTGTCATTCAGATGAAATTTTTACAAAAAGTAAAAAAATTTGCTTCAAAATTAAAAGAAATTCATAGCTTTCTTGCGAGTAAATAGATGATTTTATTTGCTAAACATTAGGATGCGGTAAGATAATCATTCGAATTATATTCTGAAGTATAGATCCGCAGTCCCTCTATCTAGATCACATGTCAAAAGGAAAATTTCTTCAGAATGCCGGGTCGCTTTCATGCATTTTTTGTAATGTTTTGCAGAAATGATTGGTTTCAAAATGATTTTGTCTGATACAATATCGGAGAAAAAGACGCCCCCCCCCCTGCCTCGTCTTTCAATTGGTGAAAACCGCAGGTCTCTAGCTGATTGCGTTCTTGAGTTATTCAAAAAACAGTGGGATGCATTTTATTTTGAAACAGATAATAGTTTGTTTATTTCAAATAAAAAACTGATACTTCAATAGCGTCGTACAAGCATGTGTCTTTGTCCAGCATGATCGAACTTTGAACATTATAGAAACGAAAACGATTCGAATCTTTTTTGCAGATAGCTCTATCCTTCGATGAACGCGAAACACAGCGTAATATTTTCTGCTGGCATAGTTACGCCAAAACTGGATGAACGTTGGTGGATCACTTGTATCATGCATCACACCATAGCCTTCAAGAGCGATTCTAGTCAGTTAGCATTGCATGACTCAATTGTGCCACACCGTTGACAACTAGTCGACCGAGAATATCACCAACAGCTGCTCCGATCACGCTACCCGCTAATCCACCAATCCAAGGCACAGCCATAGCAGTACCAAAGGTTAGATAGGTGAGAATTGCTTGAATGAGAAATGCAAAGACGCCAATAGTAAAACTTTTGACGACGCTAGCGAGACTCTTGTCAAAGAACTCTTGTCGTGTCATTTGATTATGTTTTAGCTGATAAATGCGAAAGGCGAGTTTGAGCACTTCAACGGCAATAAATGCAATTCCATTGCCGATACCATCAGATAGAATGGTGCAGAATTTTGATGCACACGATGGCCACATCTGTTCGAGCAATTCACTACAACAAATATATTAGATATTGAAACGATATGTTGTTATTAATACAATATCATTTCTAACCTAACGACTTCTTGACCGATGGCTGGGATTATCTTTGCGCGCACCAAATAATCGAAAATGCCTTTCATCAGAGCTAGAAGATATTTGCCAATATTCTCGACCAGTTGTGTCACTTGTTCACTGTACCATCGACCTGTTTTACACCAATAAGCAAGACATTCGCAATTTCTTAGGATTAAACTGTAGCCATGTGCTTCATCGTCGTTCCATGATCTTTCAGGATCGTTGGGCACTATAAGAGAACCACCAAATTTGATCTGTTCAAGAAGAAGTTGAGCATTGTCGACGACGATTTCCGGGGCAAGACATTGTGTCAAATAGGCAGTGCCCGCTCTCTTGAACCGAGCATACCGAGATCCATAGACGACACGTTTCAAGACACAATTCTTCCGAAATTGTTTCAGGTTTACGACTTGAATACGAGCGCGGCTCACCTTATGGCTACCATCGTATGTGTTAAATTCTAGCACTTGAGATTCATCGGGATCATGTTCATTGACAAAGAGTACGATGCCATGATGTTGATGAAAAGGCGACGACCATATATATAGATGATCTCCAAACCAAATATCTTTAGGTGAAATCGTGTGAAAAAGTGTCATTTTAACTGCGTTATACTGAAGAGAATATCTCGTTGATTTTTATACACTGACAAAATACTGGTTTATTCCAACTTAAACGAAGCAAAAATTCTTTTTATCGCTCTCGGGGTTGGTGTGTCATGCTTTTTTTCCCTTCTCCATTCTTTGTTATTGCTTAATGATGAAAGGAAAGAAAGAAAATATGAAAAAAAATGCAATTTGAAAGTACCGTCTCGATAAGAAAGGGCAGAGATCTATGAAGCAAGGAAAGAAAAGGAAGTACAATTGACAACTATTATTCATTTCAAAATAGAAGAGCAGTGGGTATTTTTTGAATAAATTCTGATAGAAATAAGATAGAGACCTGCAGTTTTCACCGTTGAAAAGAGGAGATGAAGGCGCATCGAATCATATATTGCAGATTTTACTACCAAGTGTTTTGAGTAGGGGTGAGAAAGTTATTGTTATTTTTTTTTGTTATTATAACAATAACATTCACTTTTTGATTCAAAAGCATTAATCAAACAAGTGTAAGCATAGTTTCTGCGTTCGTCAAAAAATCACTTTATTTATACAGTATCTTTATTACCATTTGATATAAGAGCCAGTCGTAAATACTTTGAGAAATCGTAAAATACCTTTTTTTGTTATTGTTATTGTTATTGTTATTGTTATNCAATATGGTCGTTTTGAGATATGCTAATCTACTTTTTACGTTTACTTATCTGGAAAAACTGTATTTCAAGCTTGTTTAGTATTTTGACTATAACATCATCATTTCTCGATGACGCTCAAGAAGTTTTTTTTTTTACCAAAATGATCAGCGAAAAAAGCTTTACAAAAATTCTGACATGAAAGAAAACTGTTTTGAATACTTTGTGTTTTTTTGGTTGACTTTCCATGGAATTGCGCACTACCAATTTCTTGTTTGAAAATGGTGGTTTTTAGATCAATCTGTTTCACAGTCGGTAATGAACTAACAAATCTCAATCGAATCAGTTGAAAAAGGCAGGATTGTAGAGAATTGAAAGACGCATCTAAAAGAAAAATTTAGTCTTTCACATTTTGATACTATCGAAATATAACCAAAACAACGAGAGGTCCATTTGGTATGTGCCACCCGTTATTATTCAGACTTTCTGTCGAAAAATCGAGTTTACTTGATTATCGCCTATCAAACTCTATTTTAATTTATTATTTTATTTTATTTAATCTGAAAGTGTCACATTTAATTGACTTGTTCCGATTATTGTTTGAAAAACCAATGTTAATCTGATTATTTGACTGGTTTTTTTATATGAGCGAGGTGTCATCATCATTATCATAAAAATCAAAAGCTTTGTTCAACAGATTGAGCGTTTCCTTCGCGAAATGTCGACGTGTACAACGCATGAGTCGTTTTTTTCGAGAGACTTGGGGGCTTGGGTAGCGATGTAAGATAATATTAAAACAGAAGTGCAGGTTGTTCGAAGTTGTCCATTCGCAAAATAGTAACTCATCCAACGAAAATAATGCAGCATTGACTATGAAACTACAGTAGCCAGTCATTGGTTTTAAATAGCTGAATTGAATATAATAATACGTAAAAAAAATATAACAGATGCCTTCAGTTTCTGACTATGGATAAGACAAATGACAGTTTAGTCGTTACACTACAGTTTCGTACAATTTCGTCGAAGTAATCAAAGTATGGCATAATATGATCGTGCTATCTAAAATTGCAACCACTCTGGCAAAGATAAGCGGTATTTCATCGTAGTTCACTCGCTATCCGTAGTTTTGCCGAATTGTATGAAAAAGATCACATTCGTCGATAAGTAAAGAGATCATGAGAACGAAAACTAAAGTATACCGAACTTCTCAATTAAGAATTGATTATTTTAATGAAATTGATTAAAATCACCTTTCACCATAGGCTTACGCCATGAAAACAACAATGAGTTCGTAGCAATAAGTAACAGGAGATTCCTAACACTGCATGGGACACTCGCCATTCTTTGGGCAGCTACTACTTAAAAACCAAGATTTACACAAAATATTCCAACGTGAAGAAAAAAGAAGAGACAGCGCATGCTATAATTTAAATTACGCAGCTGCTCTTACCATAATTGATTGCTGTTCGATTTTTCTTCTCTTTGCAGGTATAAATTGGACAAAAAAATACAAGAGCAAAGGACAAAAATGCATCTTCTTGTCTATGACCCTGAAAAAAACCATGATTATGATTTACTCGTGCCATATCGCGTGGAGCCTCACTCCATTCCATTACAGCTTGGAAAGGAGTATGCCGTCTTCGTCTGTTGTCAAGATTATCAAAACGTTCTCGTTTGCCTTCATCGTTGGCCTTGTGTATTTAAAATTGATGTCTGCGCTCATCACTGCCCTGAACCTGATGGCATTCAATGGATGACAGATTATCCTAAAGTTTCCAAATGCGATGATCCTCGTCCCTGGGTATCGTCGACCCTTATCCAGACACTGGGATCACCGGGCAATCAACAGCAGAATCAGCAACGGCAAAAGTTCGTCAATGCTCTAGAACAATTGCTCGAAGAACCACATACTGGAATACAAGAGACACATTGCACAGATGCACCGTCCGAAGAAGGTACTGCACCCGATGAAAGTCGTTAGCTTTTCTTGACACATATGACGACGATGATGATGATGATGGCAGTATTAATCCTGATAGTAACTGTTCAATGCAAGCTGAGCTAATCTAATCCAAATAATATATTACTTTTAATTTACATATAATCATGATAATAAAATGAAACTAGAAACAACATAAGATTACGCATTGTCATCTCTTGTAATTAAACACATTTACTTATAAAAACAAGGGGGAATACACATTGTTAAAACTGTAAAAGTTAACGCAATTCGTCGACCTAGTCCCTTAAGAAAAAAGGTGTCATAAATCATCATGGAGGATTTTAGCGAACATGATGAACTTTTTAAGGTTCAATTCCTTTATTACTAAACCATCAAAAGTTCTAGATAATTTAAAGAATAAAGCCAAGTAAAAAATGGTTTGAAGTGTTCAGAATAGTACTATCTCGCATCCTTTGTTTTTAATGCTGAACAGCTTTTACAAGGGTGGTTCTAGCGCAAGCTGCTTCAACTACACTGAAAAATGGTGCCCAACGAATCCTCTAGAATTTCTCTGGGATTTTGTGAAACTTGACTATACTTTCAGAGTATGGTGTAAACTCACGAAATCTTACTCAAAACATTTTAATCTCATGGGTTTTATATAAAAACACTTCAGGTTTTGCTGCTGACAGAATTTTCAAGTTAAACTCTTAAATGTATCGTACTTGAAAAGTTTCGTACTAAAGTGACGGGTGATCGAAAATTATTTCGAGGAAATGCTTGTTCATTTTTGACCCGTCTGAAAGTGTTTCCGACGAGTCAAAATCTATGCATTAGAATCAGAATTTTGTGCTCTTTTTGAATATGGACTTAGAAATTTTGTGTTGGTTTTTGTTCGAGAGTAGTGAAATAATCTCTGAAAAGCCCAAAAACTTAGTTTGGACAGAAAGTTTTTCCGCACACTTTTGTATTTTGCTGTTATCATCCGATACTAAAAGGTGAAATTTTTATTATTATACCAGCTTGTAGAGCAAAATCTATCCTACAAAATGTGCTGTGTGATTTTTTTAATTTTTGAACAAGACTTCTGAATTTTCGTTTTTCCTAAATCGTCATTTTTGAAAAATCGTTTACTTTGACCAAAAGCGCCTTACGTGGAAAGAATCTCTTGAAAAAATGAGTATAGCTTACCTTGGGTAAAAGCTACAGCCTAGTTCAATACCACATTTTGTAAAGAACTGTTTGCTCTACAAAACTACTGAATCCGAGAATTTTTAGCATCTTCTCAAAGGGACTTGTATGGGTTAGCAAAACCTGTTTGTTCGCAGTCCAAACTAATTATTTAAGCCTTTTAAAGATGTTCTCACTACTCTCGAACAGAAATCGACATAAAATTTCTAAGTCCATATTCAGAAAGAGCACAAAATTCTGATTCTAATGCATAGATTTTGATTCGTCAGACATGTTTTTAGGCGGGTCAAAAATGAAGAAATATTTTGTCCAAATAATTCTCGATCACCCGTTATTTTTTTTTCGACTCTCCATAATAGACATATCTATTTCCCAGTCAGAAACAGGAGTAATTTAAATCGTTTCTATATTAAGCTGTCTATCATTTACTCTGCACAGGCGTTTGCATATGTCATTAATGCATTAAGACATCATATTTTTCCATGTGGAGCTACTTCTGGGAACAATATGAAAAGCCTTGAATATATCACCACCGAAATTTCTTTGCTAAATGCTTGAGACCTTAGTATTTTGTCACAAGAAACAGAGTTTCTGTGCTCTAAACAGCTCTGTATGTTTGGATTTCATCAATCACTTCGTTTATGGGTTTGCTATACCCTTTGCGACGGCAATTGTTTGAGCGTATTAGCATACAAAATTGTGAAACTTTTCGTATAGCAGAATACTCGTGTAGTAAGCAGATTTACACTACTAAAGTATATACGTTGTTACGTTACTTGGCTTGCGTCGCGCTAAAGTCACCTGAGAGAATACAACATCTGTTTATTTTCAAATTAACACTGAGAGAGACGAGTAGAAACAAGACACACCAATAGACATACAAGCCTCTGAGTTGATTAACCAATGTCATCACAAATATAAGTGTACACATACAGGCAGATCGAGTCACAAATACATGCGATAAATATCCGAAAAAAATTATGACATAGATATATGAAATTAGATATGAACTCAGACCGTCGAATGTAAGCATAAGAGTTCAGACAAACATATAGAGGTTTATATCGAAATAAAGGGTGTGAGTGTGGGTGTGGGTTGATGTGAGTATGAATCAACTGAAAATCTACATCCACACCGACACTCGTCAGGTTTTTAAGTACAAACATACGATACATGTACGCACATTACACCTTTCCTTGCCTTTGGTTCTGTCTACAAATGTTTTACAAGTTCTCTTGAAAATGATGATTAAATTCATCGAAAGCTCGAGTTATCTTTAATAGTGCGTTATAGTTATTGTAATTGTTAGTATAATTTATCAATAAAAATGTTCTTAGCTGCTATGAAATCAGTTCTTTATAAGAAAAAATTTTAAAAGTATGATCATTTTTTAGCACTTTATAGAGGAACCCACAATGTTCCCTTCATATCTACCCAAAAGTTATTCAGAGAAGGCTATACTTTTGGATTTTTGGATTTTTTTACATCCTTTTTCATTTTCTATAATAAAACAGACAACTCAAAATTTTGTTTTATTGTGACCGATAACGAAAATTCTCGAGTATATCATGGATCGTCTATTAATTACTGAAGCGTCGTCCATTTGGATTCTTTTCTTTATCTCTAAATTGCATTCATTCTATACGAAAAACATTAATACCACGGTTCGCCAGAATAAAACAGAAGTCAAGACAAGAAAACTTCAGGACATATCGATGTTCTATTTACTGTAAAATTTTTGCGTCGTACCAATGTGAAAAAATTATCTATGTTGTACAGATGTTCAGGTTTTTTCATTTGCACAAGTCAGCAGACATTTATATTCGATCGAGTAGCTTAATTTGAAGTCGATGATAGGTTGAGATAGAAAAATCTGTTTTAAATTTAAAGATAATTTCAATTTCATTTTGTTTTCATTCAAAAGTGAATTTCATCATTGGAGTTTGAAATCAATTTTTTTCTAGAATTCAGGAAGACCAGTCTTTTCACTGCTCGCTACGGTCCTGACTATTCTGCACAGTTACTAGAATTGTTTAAAATGGTCGTTGCATAGCACAACATTTTCGTCAATCAAAACGATTTTTCTCATCTGCAATAGACATGGAACGATATAAACATATGTAATTTATTAAAGAATTGTAAATCTTACAAAAACAAGACAGAAATTTAGATTATTGTGAAAAAAAGAGGATAAAAATGGATTGTTCGCAGTCTTTCACTCTTGTCCAACAAATGCCTTGGTCTCGTCAAGCCATTTGTTGGCCTCACACTTGTCACCTTGGTTCCAATAATGCATAACAATCTCGTTATAGCCGGCTAGCGTAAGCGCGTCGAGTTTTCCGTGCAGATCCGTGACATCTTTAACCAATATGATTTCATTTCGCACGACATCGCTAAAATAATTCACTTGGTCCATATTTGGATCGATCACAAAAATCTTCTCAATCTTCCTTGAATTGAGCTCATTTGCTATTTTATTCACGTCTTGAGAAGAGTGGACCGCCACATAGATTTTACAGCTCAGATTAGATTCAATAGCATCTTTGAACTCTGTCACGTTTTTTGTGTGTACATGATATTTATTCTAACAGAGAGTACATAGTGTGAATTTCAGGTAATTCACTGGAACCAAAAAAAAGGAAATACCTGAAGAAATTGAGGTTGCTCTGGCGAGTAGTGAATATATTTATGATTCAATTTGTATTCGCTCATTTGCACGTGCAAATGCGTGTTGGTTCTAAATATAGAATGAAGTTTTAATATCGAAGTAAAACTTTCTCTAGATTGATTTATTTCATAATAAAATGTAAATGGTTCGCTTTACGTAAAACAAAGATCTGTGAAATGCTCTTTGATACAAAACAAAAACTGCAGAATATTATATCGGATTTGTTTTACTTTGAAGAGCAGAAAAATGCAAAGTAACATTTCTGAAATATATATAGTAAAGCCTTCCATTATACATACATCTCCATAATGAACAGTTCCCTATTCCCACTAGGAAGGTACTTTCATTGCTTTCAATTAGAATAACCTTTCTGATGTGAACATTTTTTCTTTCTGTTTGGAATCGAGCATATCCTCGTACACATTTACAAAGTAAAAAAAGGCTAAAATAGGGTGTGGGTTAAAAAGAGAGCCACCTCCGCATCTAGCTTTCTTCAGATGGATCGTGAGAACCAATAATCTTTTGAGATATATGTCGGTACAACATTAATTTGTAAATTTCCGAATCCATATCGTCTTCTACAAGTGAAGAGCGTATTAGGGATTAAATGGTGACAAAATTACTACTCACCTTTTTTTCTATTATTCTACCATCAGCTTTTGAGGTTGTCCTCATATATTCAAGCCAACAAAGAATTTAGTGTTACTAACAACTACAGCACTAAGTAGAATCATTATTAGGATCAACGTGACAACTTCACTACCTTTCTTTTATCGACGTTGAGGAAAAAGATTTCTATCTTCTTTCAGTCCAGTTCCAGGAAACTCATTTGAGTTTCTCCCTTATTTTACCACTGCACCCGGGTCTCACACTTTCGTCTTGTTAAGAGTCAGTAAAAGTTTGTCTACTAGCGTCTCCCTAAATATTTTCTAGTGAAAAGTGAAGAACCACAGATAGCCACGATAGAAATGCTTGACAGTGCGCAAAGAACATCATGCTCTATTAGCAGAAAAATACTATAGTCACAAATATTGGAATCAACTACATACGCTCAAACTGGTTTTTATCGATCTCACCAATTATCAGAAGTGTTCTACCATTGAATATATGCACCGTAAAGTTTACTTACCTTACTTCAAACAGAATGGCGTATGAATAAGTAACGAATCATAATAATTTT